TTGTGCTGAGAAATTAATTTACTCTGCCACTTGGTACAGTAGACGTAAGAACAGGGAGAGATCTTGTATTGTGAAATAATGTGCTGCATGTATCTGTATCAGAATCTGTAGTATCCTGGATACTTTGTACCACACCTTGTATAGCTGAGCTGAAACACTGTTGATTGAACCTGACTGCTGAAACTCAGGCTGTAGTCATCAGATGTGGTATTCCAGATTTATTTGTTGCTAGTCCCTATCAAGGGACACATCTGTAATTGCAGCCTTTTTCTGTGTATACAGGTGCTACTGTAAGATGGTGGGCCCACATCTGTATAAAAAATAAACGTCAAAACTGTTGAAGTGTAATAAAGTGTTCTGTTCCATCTTTTGTTTTTGTCTCGTCAGGATATAATTTGTATTGAATAAATAAATTTGATTTTGTATTCAAAGTTGCATTGCCACTTTATATTATGTGCAGAAAAACTTTAACTGATTATGATCATGGTGAAAAATAATGAAATCAGTTGGTTTATCAAAAAATTCTTGCAATTTTGCTAGGTATACACAGTAGCATTTCATCGAAGCCGAACTGATGCTCCTCCCACCAATTTTCAGTTGTTTTGTGCGTTTATATGATTGTGACCAATCGTGAATTGAAATTTGACTTGGCTTGGCTTGGCTTGGCTTGGCTTGGCTTGGCTTGGTTAGATCCAAGCTGGACTAGGGCCCTCAATTTAGGGTTCTCATTTAGATGGTCAGAGCCATGTCAGGGTTCAGTCCTATTGGAGTATTGTACTGTGCAACTGTGCTGTTTTCTTCTTGTCACCAGTAAAATAACATGCATATTACAAAATAAGAAGAAAAAAAAGCCCTTTTACCAGCAAGGTTATTCCCGTTTGTTCACTATGAACAATCAATAAAATTGTTCAAAGCCATCAACTGATATTACCGTATACTCTTTTAGTACACTTGTCCTTTAATATGTAAATTACAGAGATTTTTATATAGTCAAAACTAAGGACAAAATAAATAATATTTTAATTATTCATCATATATCAAATGTGATGTTTGGTTTGCATGTGTTTCTATTGGAGATACACTTCCAGTAAAGCAAATACAAAAATGTACTGTAGTGGACATAATTAATGAAAGTGAAATGCTTTATTATTGAGGACATAATAATCTACATTATTACAAATTATGTGACTTTTTAAAGGCAGATGATCATTGCACCACGTCATATTGGATATGGGAGCCATAGCATTATATACATCACATGTAAAATATATTGTTTGTTTACATGACAATTCAAACACTCATTTTGCGGCAACCATCGCCCTTTAATATCTCAGGGTTTTTTTGTTACCCTAAATGTTTAATTCTATTGAGGTACAACAAGTGATGTTTGATGCAAAACATACATGGGCAATCCTTGGCTTCAACTTCATAGAGGCAAAAGAGGCAGTTGCCTTCATGCCAAAGTTTGCCTTGGTGCAAAATACAGATTTCCTCCATATTATCATATACGTCAAAGCACTTCTATTAATTTTATAAAAAACGATACAAATGTACCTTCTCAAGTCTGAATTCATACACTGACAATCCAAACTTCAGTCAAAACAAAATAAAAGAATCAACTAAGCATAATTTATGATGTAGAGTGCTCTATTGTCATGGCAATAAGAAAACTCTTTATAATATAACCTCTCCTTTGACACATTAATATTGATTATTTTTAATTTATCATGTGACTTTTGTCAAATCCAATTTTCCAATAAAATAATGATTTACCCTATTGCAGTCAGCTGGTCTGTCAAATTTAATTGGACTGTCACATTTTGGCACAAAGTTTAATTCAAAATAAATCAGTTTATGTAAAAAACTATTACCTCTATCAGAAATGTGATGAATCATGTTTGAAAAATAATTTGTCAGCTTTTGTATGCAACTTGGGGTGAAATCTTTTTCATATTTGTGTTTCTAGCTTGAATACATATAATTTTCCATTGTAAATTTGTATGTAGTATATGTTGGATTGAATTATGAAGATATACAACTGTACCTGAAGATAGTGATTTCCCACAATGCCATGCTACAATCCCAGAGATTGACAGCTATCTCTTTGATAAATTTCAACAATTAATAAGCACTGACATTTACAGGTACTGCATTGCATGTGTGGGAAGTCTACTGTAAAATACTTTATTTTAACTGGAATTTATTTTCGATGAAAAGACATTTTGGGTGTTTTGTATGGAGTTTATTCACATATTATTAATGAGTTGAATGTAAAATATAGGTTTTTACAGTACATGTACCCTACAAACTGGACATTCACCCAGATCAGTTTAATAATATCAAGTAGGATTACATCTCTCTATGCTGGATACCTGTAGTTTCCTTAAAGCTTCCAAAGCTTGCCATGAATAAGAGGGTAACTTTGCCATATTATAGGTATCATATCACAATTAGAGGGTGTTTCAATGTGCAGGCTCAATGTGCTTTGTATAAATGTAATTCTCTCTACTTAAAAAAAAAAAATGTTGTACTTGTTTTATTTAATATGGTACATGTACCTGAATAAGCAAGCCTTAAATTTCTGATTGAGATTTCATTGAAAATAAATTCATTTCATAGATGGGTCAACTTTTTCAGGGTTACCAATACTAATATGTGTATATGCTCAATTAGCTTTATTTTTTGGGCTTATTAGATGATACTGATGATGGTATTTTGTATACCATATCTAATGTAGGTAGCAGGGTTTTTCCTAGTAAAACAATTGCAAGTAGGGGGTTCTCCCTACCAGGGTATGGAGTTTTTGATAATTCTAAGTTAAAATGGAGCATTCTATGGCTTCCTTGGGGCCAAAATTACTATCAGACAGGTCACAGTTGAAGACTGTTGCCACATGTGATCCCTGGTCAATCAGAATTTATGCTTGCCAGAGGATCAGCTCCCCAGGGTAAGGGAGCGCATGGCCATCACATGAGGGTGCTGCTCCCTTGTTCCCTTGTTTAAAAAACTCCCTGGGTAGTACATTTACATATATAATGGTACATTTGACCCATTTTGAAAGTAGCGAGATGTAGCGTCCAATGCATCAATTTCAACTCCTGTATGAGGTTTTCCCTGTGGCTGTCTGGAGACTTGAAAGAATAATGATACTTTGTCAAGGACTTAAGTGCAATTTATCCAGTATGTATCTATAATTTAGTGATATGCTGAGGGATACATGCATAATGTATACTAATTTGTTTTAGGGATGTAGCTGTTTTACATTAGGGATGAAATACAGTGGCTCCTCGCTAAGTCACGGGTGTTGGGATCCAAAAAACTGTGACTTACTGAAGGTCACTACTTACCAAAAGTTCTCGTGAAGGGGATCGATAAAAAGCATATATGCACACATGTGTTTATTTACAGTATGTTTTCTTTATTGGACAACATCACAGCGTCCATTTCCGCATGGATTGAACCCAATGCAGCGATTTTTATTGAGTTTTATCAAGGGGGACTAGCCGAGGAGTATGTAAAGGCACGACTTCATAACCCGTTAACACCTCGAGTCAGGCCACTGTCACCCTTCATATATCAGTGATTTTACTTCAAAACTGCTGGCAAAACACAGTAGAATTTTTGGGAGCCATCCAACTACCTGCACTTACTGAGGCGCGGCTTAGCCAGGGGTCACTGTACTTCCATCTTGTTGATTTTTTTATCTTGTCTGTATCATTAAAGATGAAATGAAAAGGTATTTAAGGAAAAATGTCTGTTGTTGTTGTTAATTGTTATGTGTATAACTTTACTAATTTTATTCCAAACTGTATCACCTAATTCGTCAGAATAAAATCATTCCTTAGTCCTGTGTGAAAATATCATTTGAGAAAGTAGTAGTAAAAATCTGCTGAAAAGTTTAACTTTTTCTATTTGACTGATTACTGGTGATACACATCCATTGATGTACATGTATATGTGTTCAATGAAGTTAATCATGCATCTTGGAATCAATATTATTTGTAATATATCTCCCAAAACCCGTGGGAATACTAGACTGGCTTTCAATGTCAACTCATGGAGAGAGAATTGTTGCACAGTCTAATACACATTTTCAAACATACCAATAAAATACATAAACTATCTTAACAGAAAACAAGATGTCTGATAATCGACATAAGCACTCATATGAATAATCCTTTGCGTGCCAAACTTATGATCAAAATCTGAAGCCAATAGAAAATTATGACTGTTATATACCTTCTCACAGACAATGAATAATAATTTCTTATAAGATATTTTGCCCCCAATATGTGCCATGAATAATACCCCCTCACATATATTCAATATGTGTTATGAATGAATAAAACAATGCATTCAACTAGATCTCCTGTTGAGAGAGCATTCATTCTCAAAACCAAATTTGATAAAATTGCCTACTCTATTGGAATATTATATTATGGGATAAACCTATAGTTTAAGAAAGGCATCAAGACATACTACGGGTACTCGGGATTTGAAGCAATTGCCTTTGATGCCTCCATGAAGTTCTAGCATTGATATCTCAAATGTGGCCATGAAAATCTAGTATGGTGTGAACTCTGATGTCTCAAATGTGCTAAAGCCTTAAACAAATAGAAATGTCTACAGACTTGTCCTGTAGTTGAATATAATGAATTTGCATCATCTGATCTTTCTTCAGTAAACCTACTGTATGTAACGAAATTGTCTGATTTGCGAATGATAACGAGCTCACTTGGGTTTTGATTTGCAAAAGTGATACATGTAGGCAAGTGAAATGATGACTATCCCCAAATGGTATGCCCAGATATCCTGGACTCGGCTGACAATCTGCTCTTTGAGGGGAAGTTTACGTAGTCTAGTGAAGAGCTCATCTCTCTTTCCTGAAACCTGGTGCATCTTGCCGTCTTGGTTTGACTTCTTTGTTGAATGTTGTTGTTATTTGTTTGTTTCATATTTCATATGCTGTATCTTAACATATTTTTGTTTACATTCTACAGGTGGTTCTAGATATCTTCAATTGCCATATTTTGCTTTCAAAAAGGCGGAAACTCTCCTGAAAACTGGAAATGAATTTACTATCCTGGCGACCATCAAACAGGATGCAAGGAATTCTGGAAGTATTCTTTCAGTTTCAGCTGGAAGAACAAAGTAAGAGTTGAACATACTTATCATAAATATAACATTTTTCCTTTCACTGCGAGATCCTGTATTATGCAATAAATTGTGGATTAAAACAGGAGAAACAACGGTCATAGCGTTGTAGTAGTGTCAAAATATTGCATGGAATTCAACAAATGTGAAAAGTAGTTTTTTGTTTAAATTCACACTTGACAAAGGCCATAAGACATGGATGAACATTTGTTGACAAAAGTTGACCCATATGTCATGCAATGTTGCAAGTTGCAGATTTGTTGTCAACATGTTGATTGAAATAGAGATATGCTCTATTCTTTTCAACAAGTTATTGACAGCACTCTGTAAACATACAACATTTGTTGTCAACAAAAGTTGCAGATTGTTGATACAATATGATAGCCTTAATATGCTATACACATTTGATGAAGTAACTCCATATTCCTATCTGAAAAATAAGCATTTCGACCATTAAAAAGAAGCAAAATTTGTTTGCATCAAATCAATCTTTCACACATTACACAAGATCTCACAGTGAAGGAAAAATCAACTCTTGTGATGTGCATACATACGAAATATGAAATGATGTATGCAAATTACTTTATCAATGCATTGTCATGTAAATAATATGCTAATTTGTAATTTAAATAATGGTTGTATGCAAATGAACTGCCATATATGTATAATATGCAAATAACCTGACATTATGTGAATTGACTGTGTTAAACAACGCATGAGAATTACTAACAATAGAAAATGGAATGCATATTGCCGATTTGCACATATAAAAAATATATGAAAATACAGATTTTTCAGTCTCCTCTTGCTCCTACAGACTGGTTAAATAAGATTCACAGCAGTGACGTCGCATATTCTTTTTATAGTTGATCTCAGAATGTTTGCCATGATAATTTAAAGTAGTTTGATGCATATTCTGACATGTCAATTGGAAATACAAGTAGATTCAACTACATGTGCCCTTTGTGAGACAGATTTACTATCTTCAGATAAGTGTATTACCTCTCCTCTGATGCAATTTAATTACAGAGTGTAAATCGTGGCTGCTAGAAATATCCAATAAGAGTATTTGATTAGTTGAGTGCATTTGTGAGCAATGAGATTAAAGAAAGTTACCTCCCTGCCATTTCTACTTTTACAACATTTTATTATTTCCAAGCAATTCTATACAATTTCACTTTTACCACATTAAAGTTGTTTTCAGTACATCTACGGATTTCCTTTATATGTAATGCTCTTGTATAAATACTGCAAATTATTTTCGCTTGGAATTTATGTTCGCTAAAGGAATGAAACAGTGAAAATAAAATCAAGTGAAAATACTTCTTTTTCTATGCCTTACACTCAACTTCTCAAAGTTGGTATAAATAAACTTCCCACAAAACAGCAAAAAGTTATTTCAGCAAAGATTAATTCTGGCTAAAATAAAATATTGTACAGTAAAAAGAAGTGATATATTGAAATAATTCATTCTGTATTCAATGAATACAATTTGAGGTATATGTGCACTTCCATTGGAGATTCGCTTTTAATCAAGGAAATACAGTAGAAATGGCTACATGCCAGTTTAGTGAATTTGACTCAATGTGCCAGCAATTTTATAGAAATAGACTCCTTGCTAAAACAGCATAGCTGAAATAAATACTAGGTAAATAGATTACACAGTATTGACCATTGCTGTAATGTGAACACTCTTTGGTTCTTGTCGAATTTGGTACGCTTGTGGTTATTATCTGTGAAAAAAAAAAATTTAATACATTTTTGGACTGTCTGTAATCTTATATATATATACATGTAGTATAAAACTTAAACAATGGATTAATACTGTAGAAATATAATTTTAACCAAGGACACAATAATTATTTTCATTGCCTGAAGTTTTTTTATATGCCTTATATATATTAAAATCCATACATGTTTGCAATGTTTTGAGATTAACAGATTGAATTAATGCTATATGTATTTTATCAGATTAATGTTTTTGTGCCTACAGATTATTTTAATATTTATAGATGAAATGTATTTTTGTGAATTGCTAATAAGAGTAAATTTGTCAACTCAGCATTTAACTTGAAACAGCATGATCACTTAGTTACTATGCCAGCTATGTTTGGTAATGTGCACTTGAATGATAAACTCACTTCACTAAATTCATTCCAAATTTAATGGGTTCCATACAACAGATTTTGTTTCTTGTTCAATCACTATAATTGTGTAGCAGTGGACATTTTCCTAGCGGTTCTTCAAGCGATTTTCATGAAATTCAATCATTTTTGGATTTTTCATTGTAGTCAGAAGTGCAAATCCTACTTTTCTATTACTATTCTTTGATTTTCTGGCTGGCCTTTACCAACTTATCGTTTATTTCACGTTATACACAGTTCAAAACATCACGGTTTTATCTGTGCTACTTTATTGTCATAAAAAACATGACCAATCGCTATACACATGATTTTAATAATTGATTGAATTTTAAAAGCTTGATGCTAAATGCACAACAGACTTTTAGCAGACATCTAAAAACTGGGCACAGTATGTAAACATTGGTTTTGATATATGCACATTTGCAGTTTTGATGACAGCGTAACTTTAAAATAATTTTTAGGCAAGGTCTCAATTTTCTCAACCAAACGCTTGGTTTTTTGTTCTCATATTTACAAAGCAACACTAACCTCATTTGCATACTGTGCATTATTTTTTATATGTTGTAGTCAATGAGAAATTATAACCATTTGTTCAGAAATTGCCAAAAAAAAAAAAAAACGATAAAAAATACATAAAATATATTGTACAAACTTTTATGGCATTTAAAGAGTTGAATAAAATAGAGTGTTCTGCCACACATATCTACCTTTTGTATGGAACCCATATCAAACGACTTCAATCTTGTCCAATCAGTATCGGTCTACATGATGAATAAACCAATGATAGAGCAGGTTACTGTTACTCAGCAGTAATACATGCTCTGATTGGTTATTCAAATGAGATGGTGATATAATTTTTTCATTCTATTTACATATCACAGTGAGCTCCTAGATTCCAGTTTCACACAGTGAGTACCAAGTAATCAAATCTAGAAACTTATTAACAATAAATTGACAAAATTTCAAAAAATTAGAGTTGCTTGTTGTTAAATTGTTTTAAATTCTTTAGGGAAGTCTTATCTTGGTTATTTGTGTCAAATTGCTTGGAAAATAAGCAAAACAAGATTGATCACAGAACTCTACTGAACTGATTTCCTGCAATGTAAGAACACTGCAAGCATTGATTGTGTGTAGCCAAATATGTCAATTCATACAATGATTCACTATTATATAATTCTTCCTTAGTGTCAATCTCTAACCTATTCACCACCAGTTCCCTCTTTTCATCAAAAATTCACTTTCTGCACTTTCCTTCAAAAGTTTGGGACAAAAATAGCCACATTTTCTGAAAATTGACTCAAATTTTGTCTGTTGGCTTCAAAATTATTAAAGGTTCATTTCCATAAATATTGAAGAACATATGAAAAAGTGCAGAATAATTTGGGCAATATACTCTGGTGATAAATAGCTAAAACAAAAGCTATTTTGAATAATAATCAGCATTAAAATCTACCATGTTCTTGAATTAGAAATCACTACCCATTAGTTTGGTATATTAAACAATATGAAACATGTGTACACGCCCAATTTTAATGCAAATCTTAGGAATTGTCAAAAGATTATTCTACACTTTAGCCCGAGCTCAATTTAGGCAAATTATTTTTTGATTGAAGCATAATGTGTCGTTTTATGCTTTTGAAATTTATTGACTTGCACACATGAGATGTAGGCAGTGATATCTGCTGGTCACAATGTCAGAGGCTTCACAGGTAGTGATAACCCCAGAATGTGATTATATACGTGTGTCTTATTCATTTCATATTTGGAATTGGCATTTCCTAATATGGTAGGATGAAAATACCCCCTAAAATACTGCAAAATTATGGCACGCTGTAACTGATGGCATTACGGTGACAGATGTATAATAATATTGTAGCAATTAACCCCTCAGACTTTTTGAACATTGACGTACACAGTAGCCATAGCAACTAGAGAAAAGAAAACTTTGATGAAGATAAGGATGAATTGATCGTCTTGCTGCATATGTCAGCTATTCCAGTCCCTGGGCGTAACGTCCAATTATAAGATCCTGGCACCACATGCAGCTCTCCTCATTGCGGTAAATGGTGTACATGTGAAGCCAACTATACTTGACTAATTTTCCAAGATATGCACTATAAAGTGACCTGATCACTGAGATAATTTTTATATTTATGCAAACTGTCTAGTATATATGTCTTATGCAGTGTTCCACACTGTGCCCTCTAACAGGACTGATTTTGCACAGATTTTGGGTGTAAATCCTGAAATTAAAGTTGATTCTATTTCTTGACTATCTTCAGAACATAATTTGTATAGTTGTTTGTGGCAGTAATAGTATGTAATACATATACATGGCAGTAATAGTATGTAATACATGTACATGGCAGTAATAGTATGTAATACATGTACATGGCAGTAATAGTATGTAATACATGTACATGGCAGTAATAGTATGTAATACATGCACATGGCAGTAATAGTATGTAATACATGCACATGGCAGTAATAGTATGTAATACATGCACATGGCAGTAATAGTATGTAATACATGCACATGGCAGTAATAGTATGTAATACATGCACATGGCAGTAATAGTATGTAATACATGTACATTTTTGTATTGGCAAAAAAAAAAATCATTGATCTTCAGGAATGTAAGTCTCTTCTACTCAATTATGCTGTAACCCCTCATAAAATGAATTGTCCCTTGAAGAAAAAAAACAAACTACATGGCATATAAGATAAGATTGTTTCCGTGGTGACCAATTCCCAATCAGGCAGGTGTTTCATTACGAGTAGACACACCAGGTTGAGTTGAAAGATGTCAATGCCCTTAGGGACTTTTCACTAATGGTGTGAACACCCTACTATATAATTAGACTCTTGTTGTCATCTTCCATTCATTGCAAGGTCTGTTGCATCTCTAAGTCTTAAGTGTTTTTGAAGGTAAAGACAATATTGAATTTACTATTTTCAGTACAAATTGTTTTAAAATTGATCTGACACATGCTGGCTCACAGACAGTGTCACATGTATGAATCATACGACAGACATTGACAAACTAATTATTAAATGTATATTCCAATAATAATGCTTTGCAAATAATAGAAATAATAATAATAATATATATATATATATAAAACTTTTGCAGAAAATTTACAAACTACCCGTATTTACATCTAAATTCAAGTGTTGAGATAAATAACAAATAGATATTTGATATACATGTCACTGTAGGAAGTTTCTAAATTCACAAACTGAACTCAGTTTCTGGTTTCCCTCTATCTTACACTTACTTTGTTCAAATTATGCAAATCCATGCATGGCAGAGGGGTGTGTGCATGAAGCATGCTGGGAGCACACGCCCTATGTGTTGAGAGTGGTGTACACATTTCTTAACAAGCTGAAACAAACTACTTTCTTGTGGGTGAACTTTATTTTGTCTGGTGGGTGTAATCAAGTAGACAATAAATGTAATTGCAGTAAAATACAGCTGCAATGTTCCTACAGGACTGGGCTATTTCAACCATCATTTGTTGCTGTTGCCTGTCTCCAAAAAATTGATGTGTACATTGTATGATTATTATAATTACCAAAGCTTCAACATTTCGGGAGAGGGGTGGGGTTCTGCCTGATGAGCCTACACGTCTGTATGCTATTTTCTTCTGAACAACAATTCTCCCAGTATCAGATAATCTTCAAGGCATCAGGATTACTTATTGCACAATGATCAGTGCAGTTGAGTAAAATAAAGTTTTTCATTAATATAATGGATAGGTTAATATCTTTATGCAGTGTCATTTCTGTTATCCTCTGTATGACAGCCAAATGGATTATTTAGATTGTCATCATCACTACTTTACCAGATTACAGTGACCACTTCCTTGCTCACCTAACATTAAGTCTCCATCAGGGCAACTTTTAATATGCGCTTCCAAAGTAATGGTCAAATCAGAACTGGTTAGTGAGATGTTAGTCTGGTACAAATTAGAGAAAACTATTTTGTTTTTGATAACTTACTTTGTCTAAGGCACAATAAGATTGTTTAAATTATTTGAGCTACATTTGTATAATGAACAATATGGCACATACACACTGATTTCTCTTCATTTTATTCTTGAAGGTGTAGCTACATGTATGTCACAGAATATTCTATGTTACCTGTTCAGGTACCACTGTACAATGTATTTCTATAAGATATGCCCGAGTGCTTTGTAACGCTGGTCAGGGACCTGATGAAAACTCAACTTTGACGTAATCCTGAACAACCTAATTTTCATATGTTTGTACACATAGGGCTAGTCCCTCGACACTTCCTGAGTCTCAACAACTAGTCTAATGTACAGTTTTTTCTTTAACCAGTGATGGTTGCCAGTCAGTGAAAATGCCTGGATGTTCGCCACTAAAAAAAAATTTTCTTTGTATTCTGAAATGTTTGTTTTTTTGTTTTGTTTCTCTCATCATTTAAAATTAACTTAGCTATGAAGAGTGTTTTTAAAGTTTGGCTTTACAGGATTTCAAAATCAAATTTGTTACCCAAGCAAACAGAATAAAAAAATGAGGTTGAATATTTAATAAGAAATTCAATCCCTCTCACGCCATGTAGAAAATAGTTATTGTATGAATTGGGCATTATTTGAGGATTTAAAGACCATATCTTAGACTTTCTAACAATGTAATCTAAGATTCAGTTATCATCTATATTTCATTACTCTATTGTGAATATTAGAACTAATAATTAACCCCCTATGTAGAAAATATTGACTGTGGTGTGATTCTGCATTATTGGAGGTTTATTAGACCATATCTTAGCCTTTCTAACTATGTAATCTAAGCCTCAGTTATCATATGTAGGTTTCATTACTCCATAGTGAATATTAGAATTAATAAAAAAATATTGATAGTGTGAATTGTTGCAGGTTACTACTGCACTGTCTTATGCAATCTAAGCCTGTGTTACCATAGCATATGTACAGTGGATTTACAGTGGTTGACATTTCGTAACAATGCTCAACGCGACCAAGTCTGTCAGCTGTTGAGTTGCTAAATTGTGAACTCCCTAGGCTGATGGGAACTGACTCTCAAAGCACCGGAAGGATGCAAGTTGAATCTGTAATAATCGAGAGGCGTTGGTTAGTTGTGTACCGCTGGTGATTCTGCTGGTTACGGACTGTTTTCTAGCTATCCGCGCATTTCACAAGCCCACATATATACCTCTCAATAGACTCTATATAGTGAGTTCTAACAACATTACAAAGGCTGAATGCCACTTTAATATTGGTAATTACACAAGGATATTACTTTTTTCTATATTTTACATTCAACTAAAAATATCAGTGAAAATAAATTCCATACAAAACACCTAGGGAGTCTTTACAGTGAAAGTGAATTCCAGCTAAAATAAAGTATTTTACAGTATTACGTAAAATTAATACTTGCATTAGGTAAACAAAAAGATGTTGCCTTTTGTCTTTGTGCACATCCGTTGGAAACCTGTCACCTCGCACATTTATTTTGGCAATGTTGTGTCCCACATAGGATAGAATGCGAAAATGTTAATTGCGTATTCTGAGAACATAATGCCTTTGAAAATATAAATCAATCTAAATCCTGCGTAGTGGGTTTGTTTTCGCCACATAAACATTTGATACTGATAGCTCATCAGAACGCAGGGAACCAGGGAAACTGACAAACAAGTTGCGTAAGCTAGAAATCTAACCTTCACCCCCACCCCATTCTCGCAAATAAACCAACTGATGGTGTTATAACTCGAAACTCATCTATTGAGATAGATATGTTACTTTGTAAATGTATTCAAACACATGTATTTAGTAAATGTTAAATGCTGAACATTAATCTTGTTGTTTGAGGAGGTATTTACGATAATAGTCTCAATCTATATATGGTAAAAAAAATCCATTTTTCATAGAAAGAGAAGAAGAGAGGATTAATGATTATATATTTTGACAGTTCATTTGCATGTTTGCAGTTACTTTATTTACATGTACATGTTATTGGTTATGTCATTCCCACTGAATACAACCATTGATTGGTACCATACAGTTACATTGTATCTATTATTGATTCTGCTCCTTTATTTGTTTCCTTATTCACATGTGATAAAGTAATCCATGAAGTCAATTTAGATTTGCATTAGACAAATGATCACTTACTTGCTTTCACTAACTCTAATCAAAACCTACAGGTGACAGCAATTGTAACTATCTAATTCAGACCATTTTGAAAATAATTAGGTAACATTTTGTGTGTAGTGTTCCTCTAATAAATCTCTTGCATTATTGTATTGTGGAGCAGCGTCTTTTCTATATGGGCAGCCATTTTTCAAAAAACTGAGCCAGTACATTCTTAATACATACAAACATGTACAGTTCGATCACCTCTATATAAAGACCACAAATGTACCTGTCATATCAGACAATATTTTTTGCCTTTGTCTAAAGACCAAAATAATAATTAGCATTCCGTTTAAAATTTTCAAGTCAATTCAAATAACTGTTGGGTTAAACATAAAAATATAAAAAGACTACCAGTCTATGAAGACCATTTTAAAAAATTCCTTGGGGTCGCCATACAAAGCTTTGACTGTATATCTACAAGAAATGATTTCATCAATGTTTTTGCTGGCTGTTATTAAAACTAGTTCTGAATTTTCACAGATTTCTTGAGCTCTACACAAGCACACGGAGATCACAGCTGAAATTCTTCTACACAGGAGCCGATAAGTTATATGCAGAAGAGTTCTCTTACCCTCTGGTTCCTGACAAGTGGACTAAGATTGCTTTTACAGTCAGTGGGACACATATAACGCTATATATCGATTGTAACAAAGTCACAGAGAGAGTTATACATAAACCAAATTTGAATATAGATCAGAATGACTTGGTAATGTGGATGGGACAAAGAAATGACCAGGCATTTTTTAAGGTGAGTTTTACAATAAGTGATTTTCTGTTCACTGTGAGATACTGCATATTGTATGGAAGTGGCAAACCAAACATCTGCACGCAAAAAGCAATTTATTTGATTTTGAACTTGCATTTCCTTTTTAGCTCTACTGTCTGTCTTTGTCCACCTGTTTGTCACCAATTCTATTTTCTACCTTTTCTCTAAAACTAACAGGCCAATTACAATGATGCTTGGTATGTAGGTACCTTGGGCTTTCTCAGATAAGCTCATTTCCTGTTGGTCTCTTCAATTCTCTATTTTTAGGAAATATTTTGGTAACTTTTGGTGAAAAATGTTATTTTTGACTAATTCTCAAAAAGTACTAGTTGAATTGGCTTGATACTTTGCATGTACGGGGGTAGATACTGTGGTGGTCCTCATGGGTTTGTTCATTCTGTGGAGACAGCTGCAGTTCTCTAATTTTACTGAATATTGTAATTATTCTGCATGATAACAACAAAATACTGTTAAAACTCAACTTAGTTACATCATAAGCAAATATTTTTGATCGATTTCTTGTATAACGCACGATGTCATCATGAACAGAAAATGGACTATTCGCAGATACATGTATGTGGATCAGATTTATCAACTGTTACCTGGTAATGTTTCTGTATCAAAGAACTTTAATGTGTAGCCACAAAACCTTGTATGTGAAGACAACTTTCTTACCAGCTGTTTATTTGGGCTGGATGTTAGCGTCATATTATTCTGGAGAATTCAACAGATTTTATTTGCTCCACTGGTCATGAAATTCATGCTGTTTTCCTGGCTCTAGCTGTGTTCACCGTCTCTTTGACTATCAATCCACAGCAGCATGTGCAAAGCCTATAAAAAAATATGGTACAGTGATGTCTGTCTTTTTTTTTTTAAATAGTATTTTTGTGCCAGGCAACAGTTGACATTAAATGTCACTATTGTCTCTCCTGACTTTTTTTTTTGTTTTGTGCAAACTGCAAGTGCTAGTGCAGACACATTGTGAATTTTTGCCACAGAATTCATATTCATGTTTGGGATTACATGACCGGGCTGTGTGGCGATATCTCTATCAAGTGGCAATTTTAATGCGCTATCTTGGCGTCAATCAAGCTTGGTCAAACAAAAGGACCTGCATTAGTGAATGAATATCGGCCAGTATATTTGGCCTTCCCATTGAGTCTGTGGCACACTCAGCCAGTGTAGGGGTAAGCCCTTTATGGTGTTCAGCCTAAGGTAAAATTTGAACTTTGGTCTACCGATCATGAGTCTGATGTGACAACCACTATGCTACCAGTGACCTGTGATGTGCATCTTAGCACCTTTGAACGTTCTGTGACAAGTATGGTTCAATGGCTGAATTTATTATTTTACTTAATTATGGTCATTAATTGAAAAGTGCTTTAATACAATGGTCATGGTTAATAAATTTATTGAAAATAAATCAATTTATTATTTAATGTTTGTATGTGGGGTCATACGAATGTCATAAAGCTTGACTATCACAATTTACCAGGGGGGCATAACTCAAAGGGAAAAGTGACAAGGCAGACATTTTGGGTTCTGTACAATTTTGTACGCACTCATTTTGAACCATCTTATCAGAATAACACTAATAAAACATTAATAGTCATTGTAATATACAGTCAGCAATGAAACTATTAATTCTCAGAATATTGCTATACTTCCAAACACCTGTTACAATTCCCACACAAGCAGCAACTGTCATGTTTACTTTTCTCTGACATTAATGTATATATCAATACACATATTATCAGTCATTTGTCCATTAAGTTAAGAAGTAGGTATAGTAGGACAGACTTGTTTATGTTCTTATCGCATACATGCGAGTGGTTGACAAGAATCATTCATATCAGAAGGTCAAAGAAATTGTTCACTCCTGTTATTAGGCTTCCTGAAATATAATTAATGTTTCTTGTCAACATGTATGCATCACCAAAAAAATTACAGTCTGATCTCCTCACTTAGTTTGTTCTACACAGCGCCCTCTGTTGACAAATTGAATAAAACATCAAAACCTTTGTGCAATCAAATATTTTAGGAGGAAAAAAATTAAAGGCCATCGCTGGCACTGTGACAGCAGATCAGGAGCTTGTGCTACGTTCTAAAATCAAGTTCTGTTCCTATCCCAGGGAAAATTGAAAATTGATATGGGAACACAGTTATAATTTTTCGTCTGTATTAAGATAATATAATGACCTAAAAGGAAGATAACATTTATTGAATAATGCTCTTAAACACATGCATTAAATGTAGATTTCACCTGTACACATAATTGCAAAAGAAAAATGCAGGGGGGGGGGGGAATTACAATGAAGAGAGGCAAAACTTGTTTTCCCCTCCAAATTTGGGTGTATCAAATTTTTGTCGAGAATGCACTAATAAATGTCTCAATGCAACCACCTTATTAGGTCCAGAACATGCACGTTAATGTTTGATATTTACAGATAACTAAAATTTAAGATTAACTGTGTTACTCCACCAGGGTCTGACTTGTTTATTGTTTTCCACAGGGTACTGTTCAGGATGTGAAATTGATTGTTACAAGTCATGGATATTTATCACAATGTCCTGAATTGGAAAGACAATGTCCAACATGCGGTGAATACCTACAAATGATTGGTACCATTGATAATTTATCTAATCTCTTACAAGAAATGGAAACAAGGGTAAGTTTCTGTTTTGTTCTCCTTCTGCTGCTTTAGTTTGTTCGGCTGTTCTTTTCTTGCTCTAATCTATACTATAGTATATTTAAAAATTTTCATTTAAAAAACTAAATTTTGCTGTTTTCAGTGAAGATTTAGACTTTCTTAGCAATTTTATTGTTTTATATGCTAAATCCTTTCGAGAGAATTTGTAGAATCTTTTTTAACATGCACATCACAAATGTTAATTTAATTTTGTCTGTCAGATCAGTGATCAGATTTAACACAATTGTTGACACCTTGTATTGGCACAATAAAATTGTATTTGAATATGCCATTTAAAAAAGAAAAAAAAAATGCTCATTATTTTAACAGTATTTACAAATGCAATGCACAGAAAATTCACAGATTGAATCAATTCAATTCACAAGGTGCATGAAATAATTATAATTTTCTATACTGCCCTCACAGGCCAGCTCAGAATCTTTCATAATCATTTGTTTTTATTATGTGAGAATTTTGCAAACACCGCCCTCAAAGTCTCAAATTAATTGCTTTTGTTTTTATTAGCTAAATGATGCTGAGCAAAGGATTAGTGAATTGAGTGAATGTAGATGTCAGAAATCTTGTGAACACAATGATGTGGTTAAATCTGACATGGAGACGTGGATTGAAGACTGCCAGCAATGTACTTGTAATGTAAGATATGAATAGACATGTATGATTGTAATTTTAAAGTACTACACATTTTATTGTAAACAATGTGTTTTGAACACTTTGTACAAGTCGCATGGATCCATTATTGAACATGACGTGATACAACAACTATGACACTTTATGCAGATTTCCAGATCACTTCAAAGTCCTGTGTTATACGGAAAATCAAATGCAAAAAAAACAGGGGGAAAAAAGGTCATAGGCGCCACAGTGACATTAAAAAGTCACCCGGGAATTGAAAAAATGGGAAAGTAAAATCACCTATTTAAATGTCATCTTCATTGTTTTTATTAATATGGGGCATTAGGAATAGGAAACTGTTAATGAAAAATGGCTTTATTTGAGAAACAAGTTCTTGGTAGATGCAAAATTTGATATTGTTGAATTCCCTTAGCGTACCAGTTCCCTTTTTTCATCACAAATTCACTTTCTCGCTTTTAGCAACATCAGACTTGGAGAACGGACTTGAAATTATTCACCTTTCAGGTACCAGGTTTCCAGTACTGCTAAGACAGGAATGCAACAGTGTTGTGTTTGTTACCAAAGAATACTGTGGAATACTTTATTTTCGCTGGAATTAATTTTCGCTGAACGGGCATTTTGAGCGTTTTGTATGGAATTTATTTTCACTGATTTTTGATGAGTTTAATGTGAAATATAGGAAAAAAAGTATATTCGCTGGATTCTATTTTCACGGAATCATCTCTTCAGCGAAAATAGCGAAAATAAATTCCAAGCGAAAATAAAGTATTCTACAGTATCTCCAGGTTCACATCGCTTGTTGATGCCAGTTTTTCCTGTTCAGTCCAGCTATCCATTAAGCAGGCAACGTGATAATAAAATCTACAGATGCTGATTGTGTTTTCTTTACTATAATACAAATGTGATTCTTATTTATTATACATTGACAGCAAGGTGCAGTGGAATGCAGTGCAATGGATTGCCCTCAAGTGTCATGTAAATATCCTGTGGTTCCAGAGGGACAGTGCTGCCCTGTTTGTAGGCGTAAGTAACAGCTTATAGTTGAAGGATGAGATATGGGTCTCATATAAACAAAGATGGCATTTTGACTGTTGCATACACCAACTAGTACAAACTGAGAGGTTAAGCTTTAATTAGGTATTTTTCTTGGTGTTTTTTGGCATCGAAGGAGTCGCCGGCGGTAATTAGTGTAAGTGGCGCCCTGGGCAAATCTCATACTCCTGATTTCATTAGAAAAGAACATTGATTATGGGAAAATCAAAGTTTATCAACACAAATGTTGCACATGCGCTGCACGACGACTACTGCCCCTTAAAAAAAATCAACACTGATCTAAAGTTGTTTTTCCCGGGAAATTCTATAAAAATTCAAAAAAGTCTCCTCAATAGTTTGGTGTATATCTCATCTTCAAAAAAAAATGCTTCATATTGATTATTGTTTTTTTCATTCGATCAGAGAACCGTGTGCGTGTTTCAGTGACTTGATGGCTGAAAACTCAATCACAATCACATGCAATCAAACATGCATTGCCTGACAACCACTGCCCTTTAAACTTTCAAAGAAAGCCTATAAAAGTATATCAACAGTCTGTTTTTTTTTTTTTAGGACAATGTTTCTTTGGTGGTCAGTTTTTTGATGATGGTGAATCATTTAGTCCTCGGCAATGTGCAATTTGTCAGTGCGAGGTAAGTTATATCATGTTTGCTCTGTCCTAAACACATGTGACTACTCTACATAATGAGTTGGTGATTTGTAATAATAGTCATTCAATGAATTTCTATCTGGTAATATTATAAGGTTAATAAGAGAATACCGCAAAGTATGTACAAAGGCAGTACTGTTATCATGTCGACCAACAGATAACAGAGGTTGATGCGTTTACCTACTGCCTGAGTGATAACCTTATTTTTATAAATCTTTTCCCTGATTGTAGTAATGATTTGATAAGAGATAACAAAAAAATTCTGCTGTATTGTGCTGTGCGAAAGTTTAATTCAGTAACAGGATTCAATTTCCATCTATGTCTGAATTAAACAAAGGAAAGTGTTCAAATTTGACGTGAATAATAATAATAAGGAAAATAATAATAATAAGGCAAATGTTCAAACACTTTTGAACATGTGCATACAGCGTTTTTGATATCAGATCATAATATCATAAAATAAACAATGTATAATATATACTGTATTTTTGCCATACTATAAATGTTTGTATTTGAGATAGAATGTTGAGTCTAAACATATATGCAAGGCAGAATTTAATACATCGAAAACAAATCGCAACAAATAAGATGCCTCCTGATTGGTCTGAAAGCTAGGTGTTAGGGTTGGGCAGCCAATCAGGCTCATTCTTGTAAGAACCTTACATTGAATCAAATATGCAGGTTAATTGACTCTTGTGGCTAGTACCCTCCCTGAAACAAAAACATTTTTACCTTCTGCCCAATTGCCAGGCTTATCTTATTCAGAGTTGATAATTGGCCGAAGGTGTAAAGCAGTCTGTTCTGTGCATGTGCTCTTCAGTCCTTAGTTCATCAATCAATCAACAATCAAACATGCCACTCTGCTGTTAATGTTTATTCTTTGCATTTGTAATTGTGTGTTATTTCTTCCAATTCTAGAATGGTAGAACTTCGTGTAATCATCAAAATCCTAATGAGATCTGTCCTAAGTTGACATGTCCTCTTGATCAACAATTCAATGTACCTGATGAATGCTGTAAATTCTGTCAAGGTAAACATCTCATAATTATATTTACCGGAGTATTTGCTATTTTATCTTCCAGTTCTTGTCAACCAGTAACTGTGCACACACACACACACACACACACACGCACACACCCACACACACACACACGCACACACACACCACACACAACACACACACAACACAACACAACACAACACAACACAAACAAGTGGGATGACTTATACAGCTTGAAAATATTTTTCCAGGTGTTGATTACTGCAATGAAGGGCATGACTGTCATGCCAATGCCACGTGTGTCAGTCTCTCCACTAAACATGCGTGTCAGTGTTTAAGTGGCTTTGAAGGAAATGGTAAAGACTGTGTTGATATTGATGAATGCAAAGATGAGGGTGGTCTCTATGGTCACCATTGCCATGACAACACGATATGTGTGAATACCCCTGGGTCTTACCTGTGTGAATGTCTTCCTGGTCATGTCAGAGATGATGATTTCACCTGTTCTGGTGAGTACATTTTTCCTTATAAGTACTTCTTAATTCCATGTGTTTTTATGATTTAAAAAAAATGACATATTGCTGTGAATTTTCATCACAAATTCCCGAAATAGTTTTGTTTATATTCTGCACTTTCCTTCAGAAGATCTGGACAAAACTAGCCTTTCTGAGTAAAAACTCAAATTTTGTCTGTTGGCTCCAAAATTAGGGTCATTTTCAGAAATATTGAAGAATATAAGAAAAAAGTGCAGACAAATTTAGGCAAGAAAGTGTGGTTGTGAAAAGGTTAAAGTTGCATTCTCACTTTGCAAATATTTAAAGTGGGAGGGTCGTCACCTGCATACGTGCGGGAAATGAGTCCCAAGTGACGATAACAACACACGCTAAAAACACAAAGGCCTATGGGTAGATAATTGTTTGTAAACAATGACACTGGCCAACTGACGCATGCGCAGGTGACGACTCCCCCACTTTAAAGCTTCACTCCCAGAACAAGCTAAAAACTGTTTTAGTGAAAATATGATAAATTATTATATAAATTCTTTATTATGAGATTTCAGGGTAATATTTTTGAGTGTTTATTTTTTTCCAGAATTAGATGAGTGTTCTGTTGGAGTCCATAACTGTGATCCCAATGCAGAGTGTATAAA